AACAATATTTAGAAAACAGAACCATGAGCCTGAACCCCAGGGGTGGTGTTACAGTGGAGGCTGAAGACCAAAGCCGGAAACATACAGAGATTAAAATCCCAGCTCCACTACAGATGTACTGCTGCTCCGGCAAGTCATTTCACTTCTCAGGGAAGTTACCAGAATCTCAGAGAAGTAATCCCAATCACTTAGAGACTGGAATAATTTTAGATGTCAACATTTAAGCAGTGACTAGTTCCAGACATATTCTGATTAGCAATTTCAGCCTCACCACTTTGTAATGAAAGTGGTTTAATGTTGCCATTTTATAGACAGGAAACTTGAGTTTCAGTGAAATTAAAAGACTTGCCAAGTATACCCAGACAGTCAACAACAGGGCTGGGACTGAGACCCAGCCTGTCTGATGCTGACTTGTCTCCTTAATCATTTTACTTAACACCACCCAAGGTGGATAATACAATTTAGTGAGATGATACATGTAAAGCACATTACCTAGCCTTCATTAAGTACTCAGAAATTACAGGGCTTATTTTAATTTTTATTTATTAGTTTATTTTGTTGAAGTGAAAAAGAAAAACATAGATCCTTCCTCCTTGCCTGGGTAAAATTCCTATTTATGAAGTGGGAAATTAACTTATACTATTGTAATAGCAGCAGCAATAATGCATAATAGTAACAGAGGGATTCGGGGCATGGCTCCGAGCTCAGAAAGTCTGGGTTGCAAGCCTAGTGTCATGGGCTGAGGGCTTGTGCTCCCCAAATCTGTGTGTTAAAGTCCTCACTCTCACTGTGGTGGGCTGTGGGAGGTGATTAGGTTTGGACAAGGTCACGGGGGCAGGGCCCGTGTAAGGAGATTAGTGTCCTTATAAGGAAGAGGAAGAGAGAAATCTCTTCCTTTGTGCACACACTGAGGAAGGTAGTTTGAGGCCACGGCAAGAAGGCAGCTGTCCAGAAGTCAGGATGGAGCCCCGACTAGGGACCCTGATCTTGGATGTCTCAGCTCCAGAACTGAGACATAGATGTCTATTGTCGTTGCTGCTCAGTCCGTGGTGTGCAGACAGCAAATGCCACGTCTGCTTCTTACTGGTGAGATCACAAGCAAATTGATGAACCTCTTAAAGGTAACATCTGTACCACATCCCCTACTTCATTAAGACTGTAGTGAGAATTACATGAGATGATACATCAAAAGCACTGAACAGGTGCCTGGCAGAGAGTAAGGACTCTAAATGTCAGCCGTTGTTTTGCGGATGGCTCCTTTTCTCATAGACTCCAACTCTTCTTGGGTAAAATCAAATGTGCCTGTTGATGTCTGTTCATTTGGGGCTTACTCACCAGCAGGTTTCCAGCACTGCTGGGAGGCATCATTCATCCAACCTCTAGGATATTTTTGCTCCTCCTCCCGTTCACCATCATGGCCCCAGCAGTACTAAACCTACACACAGGAGCCACGCAGGCTTTTCTGTCTTCCCATGTTCCTTCCTGTATCCTTTCAGCAAGCGCTTTTTTTCATTTTAACGAACTCCTTTCGAGAAGTAGGTTCCTGAGTCATTCTCCTTTTTGGATACCCTGGTTCCTAGAACATGTTCTGTGCTGCCTCCTCCTGTCCTAACCTAATCGCAGCCACACCTGCAGGTGGCAGCCAGCGGTCCCTCAGTGGGTGTGGGGAGACTAGGTGTCTGGTCTGAGCATCACAGCTCCAAGATCTCCAGTTCCACACACAAACATGACCCCCCTCATTCTCCTTTGTCCAACTGTGGCCTGCAGTGAAGTCCATCTCATGTCCTGGAGATTTCAGATTTCCTCTCCCTGATAATAACTGAATCTACAGAAACTAAACTACAGCTGTATACTGAATGTTGAGCAGAAAAGCATCAGTTAAAGAAAGTTATTTGCTCTGGAGCAAAAACAACAATCTAACATTTAGGCTGAATTTTTCATTTTTCCACCAGCAGAGTCAGCATGGCATACGTCAAGCCTTAAAACCATCTTTGTTTCTCCCCAGCTACTGTGGATTATTAAAAAGTCTTCACTAGTCCATTTCTTTTTGCCCTGTAGTCTTTGAACCTCATTAGAAATGTTGACTCTTGAGAATGTAAGCTTTTGCCATATAGCCAAAAGATACTGAGCCTCTCTCGTGGAATCGCCAATTAGCATTTTTTTGGTTTCTCTCCTCTGTTGTTTATGTATTTTGTGAGTTAGATTCATTGCTCTGAAATGAGGCTAAGCCTTTCCCACCGATTTTAATTAGAAAAAAGAAGTAGAACATTTTGGTTTTCTCCCTCCCTTTCTCTTTTTAAATATTTAAGACACAAGCCCCAGTCCACAAAAAAGGCATCTTTTTACCCCTCCCAGAAATGAGAGTATATCACGCACCTTCTGACCAGAACCACCTCAACAATGAGACTGCATATTCAGCTCTGGGTGACATCTGTCCTTAGAAGCAAGGAAGCACTAATGGACTGAATGCTTTCTCAGAGCACCAACCCTGGTTGCAGCTAGGCGACTTGCCCCCCTCGGCCTCTCTCCCAGGGGTGCTGTCTGAGGCCCTACAAAACTAAGCTCCCAACTGCTCTTCTCCCATCTTTCCTCCCCACATTTCCTTTCCTTAATTTTACTGGAGTTGATTTACAACATTGTGGTGATTTCTGTTGTACAGCAAAGTGATTCAGTTACACACACACACACACACACACACACACATATATATATACACACACACACACACATTCTTTTTCATATTCTTTTCCATTATGGTTTATCACAGGATACTGAATAGTTAGTGAGACCCTGTTTTTCATCCATCCTATACGTAGTAGCTTATACCTGGTAACCCTAACCTCCCAGTCCACCCTTCCCCCATCCCCTCCCCCTTGGCCAGCCACAAGTCTGGTCTCTATGTCCATGAGTCTGTGTTTCATAGATAGGTTCATTTGTGCCATATACTAGATTCCACATACAAGTGACATCATATGGTATTTTTCTCTCTCCTTCTGATCTACTTCACTAAGTTTGATCATCTCCACATCCATCCATGTTGCTCCAGAGGGTATTATTTCATTCTTTTTTTGGCTGGGCAATATTCCATTATATATGTGTTACAAACCTTCTTTATACATTCATCTGTTGATAGACATTTAGGTTGATTCCATGTCTTGGCTATTGTGAACAGTGCTCCAGTGAATATAGGAGTGCATGTATCTGTTTTAATTAAAATTTTTGTCTGGGTAGATGTCCAGGAGTAGAATTACTAGGTAGTTCTATTTTTTAATTTTTTGAGGAACCTCCATACTGGTCTCCATAGTGGCTGTACCAATTTACATTCCCACCAATTTATATTCCTTACCCTAGTCATTGTTCCATTCATATGCCAGCTCGACCAGGTTTTGCTCAAAAGAGTTATATTCATCTCATCATTATTTGAAGCCAATCACTGTGCCCCCAGTTCCAACAACTGCATTATAAAACAAACACATTTTGCCTTTAGACTATAAAGTTAGTCTTCTGGGCTTTGGCCTGCTAGATCAATTCCAAGAACAGAAAACCAACAGAGCATCTGTCGTTTTCATATATGTGTAGGTATCACTCACTTTAGAACGAACAAGGATACATAAGAAATGTGAAACATAAACCCCTTCCTGTTGGAGATGCTTCCAGGCATCCACACCAGCGGACCTCTGCCTTCTTCTCCTGACTCACCCCTCATTCATGCTGCTGATATACTTACTGCAGTCTTATCATGAAATGACTAAATTTTTACTCATCCAAAAATATTTTTATTTTGCCTTCATACTTGTAGATTGGTAACGTGACTGAGAATAGAATTCTAGCTTCAAAACCTCCCCTGTTCAGAACTTCCCTGGTGGTCCAGTGGTTAAGACTCCACATTTCTGCTTAGGGGGGTGCAGGTTCAATCCCTGGTTGGGGAACTAAGATCCCATATGCTTCATTGAGTGGCAAAAAAAAACTACCATTTGACTGTCTCAATAAAAGCAGAAAATTATTTAAAATAACAATAACAAAAGCCTCTCTCATTAGGTCAGATAAGCAGGTCCCACCCCATCCTGGAAGGGGTCATCTTTCCCTCTATCAGCTGGACACTGGTGACCAGACACCTCCAGAAAGCCTCCCCTTTGTGGCTAAGGACTGCTAAGTTTTCAGACTTATCAGGACCAAACAAGATATCAAAAACCCAGTGGGCTTTCAAAACTGCCAGTTGGCTTCAAATAACGATGAGATGAATATAATTCTTCTGAGCGAAACCTGGTGGAGCCGGCATCTGAATGGAACTATGACTATAGTGCACTCTAGAAATACGGTGAAGAATGTAAATTGGTGCAGCCACTGTGGAGAGCAGTTGGCACGCCAGGACCTAACAGATGACTCAGAGTAACCCAGGGTTCACTATGCCCTTTTAAAAACAAATTAGCATTTAAAATTGTCAACAGTCTCATCAATCAAACGACGCAGAACAGACAGGGACTTCATACCACTCTGAGAAACCAACCCTACCCGACTTGTGGGATGGCTTCTGGTTCCGAGACAGCCCACTTGCCTACTTTTCCCGAGGGTATACCTTCACTTCGCTTAATAAAACTCCTGGTGCCTGAAGCCGCTCTATGTCTCAGCTGACTTCTTTCCTGCGGGAGGACGAGAACTGAGGAACGGCCATCCACAGACGACAGCCCTGCCCTGCAGAGTGAAGACACCGCTTACTTATCTTCTGTGGAAACAGGCAGGCTCTCACGCTAATTTAGATGCCTGGGTAAATAATTTGCTTCCTCCCCTCTCTAGAAGCTTCTGGGACCCTCTTTCTATCCACAGAGTATTGGAGTTCCTTAGGGTATATTAACTATATTACCATGACTTTTGAGACAGAAACCCCCTTCTGACTCTTCTGTACTTGGCAGGAAGCCCAAGGGGTAGTGTAAAATCAGCTACGGCCACGGGGCTGCTGTAAACAATGTTATCAGTTTGGGTCTTTCCCTCCCATCTCGCAGAGGTGGTCTCCGGTGTGTTGGATTTTCCCTGGCTGACATGGTCCTTCACAACAGCCACTTCTGCTTTTATGATTACCGGATCTGTAAGTGCTGGGAACCTCAGGAAAGGCAGGAGCCGGTCTCTCAGCTTCTGCATAGCTCCCTGAAGAAGCACTAATTGGGCAGATCTAGAACACAGCAGAGGAGCTCTTCGTCACCAAGAGGAGAAAAAGGCTGAGCAGACAACCCAAGTCCACAAAGTGAGCAGTGGGTTTCCTTTGCCCTCATCCTGCTGGGCACTTGTTGGAATCTTTCCCCATCTAAGATCTTGTATTTCTTCTACTAAAGAAAATCTTTGTCTCTTATTTCTTAGCTAGGTTCTCTCTTCCTTTTATTCTTTTTCTGGAGCTGCTGTTAGGATCAAGCTGGATGTCTAGACCTCTGCGTCCGGCCTCAGCGCTCCTTCCCAGTCTACCAACCCTGTCATCCTCACTGGTCAGTGTCGGCGGTTTCCTGGTCTCTGTCTTCAAAATATCTCAGGCCCATTCAGCTCCTTACCTAGCCATCACATCTGTAATATCAGCAATCTATGTTTTGATTTTCAGAAACTCTTGCCCATTTTCTGGATGAAAGCTATTTACTCTGAGAACACTGGTGTAAACTGTTTTCCATTATTTGAATCATTTCTACTTCATTTAGATGAGTAATTCTGGTCATCTTTGTGCTCTTGTTCTTTTCCTGATGATTTTCACCAAATACCTGTTTACCCGTTCCTATTTTTGAATTACATGTCGACTGAAAAAAAAATTGCACAACCTAAAAGTCGAGAACTATGTTTTATTTGGCAGACATGCTAAGAACTTAAGTCCAGGACCCAGCATCTCAGATTATTCTAAGAGGCAGCTCCATAGAGGTAAAGGAGGAGCCAGGATATATAGGAGTGTTTGCCAACAAAGATCAGGTAATTGGAAGAGCAAAAGATTACTATTAAAGAAAACCAGATGTCTCAAGTTAAGGAATTGAGTGCTTCTCTATGTGGGGGAAGATGCAAGAGGCTGGACTCACTGAAACCATTTCTTTGATGTGAACCTCAGCTCTCCAGACCAGCACCCTGAGCTTTCTCATCCCAAGTGTCCTCGGGGTTCACCCCTGGGGGTGGCTGCAGTGGCTGACGGCTCACTGGCTGGCCTCCCGCTTCCTTCTGGAGTCCCCTGGGGGCACCTGTACTGTGACAGCTTTCTGGCTGCAGCATCCTTTGTTTGCTGATGTGGCAGGCGATAGTTTTCATTCCCACATGGTTTAGGAGAGTCAGGGTGGATCTTCTTTAAAGCTGTAGAACATTTTTACCAGCACCCGAGCCTTGAGAAGAGGCTGAGTGCAGGTTCCAGATGGGACAGTTGAGCATGGAGGGTGTCAGTGGGCACACACCCCAAAAACACCCAGGCACGGGCACACAAGAGACAGGGTGCAGCACAACCACGGCAGCGACAGACGACATTTCCTTCCTGGGCACGGCCCTGCCTTCTGTTCTCCTCCTCGTGTCTGTGGTGGGGACGGGGGTCTCCTGCACACAGCCCCACCTCACTCACAGACTCCAGCAGTCTCACTGGGCTGTGTCCCAGGATGGATCGCTTTCTTAGGAGAATCCTGTTGCCTTCGCTCAGGGATGAAGCCCACTCTGACAAGCTGTTCGGATACAGAAGGGATGGGCCATCAGAGGCACGGTCTGCACAGTGAGCAGCTCCACTGGCTGCTCCGTGGCCCCTCCACCCCGCTGCTGATGTTGACTCCAGGCTGGAAGACGCTCTGGACTTGTGTTTTTACCTGAGCTTTCCTCATCAGGCCAGTCCCACCTGTTTTCCACCTTCCACACACTCGGCAAAAGTTCTGCCCACCAACAGTACCTTCATTTGTTCGCCTTGTACTTTAAATCTTTACAAAAAAATTTTTTGTTGTAATTTTAATGGAAGGGGAAAAGTGAGATGCATATCATTAGACTACCGTTTTGAGTCAGAAGCCTCTGGGCACCAATTAAATCCTACTGGATTGACAAAAATTTAAATGGCTGGTAACACTGCGAGATGGCAAATGTGTGAGAAATGGGCCCTTTTCCCACAGAGAAAAGGAGGCTGGGATAGCCTTCTTGGATGGAATGCGACAGTCACCATCAACATATTAAATGTCCATAATTCCTGATTTTTTGTAATAGCATATTTTTAATCTACTCTACAGAAACACTAGCATGACTGTCAATGATATATTGTGGGATTATGTTTACCAAAGCACTCTAACCAAAAGCAAATATGTAGTTGAAGGCATACACAGGGCAATGATTGAACAAGACTGCATATCCATAAGATGGGTAAAGAAGGAATGTAATCTATTTGTGATGGCTTTGAAAGATGCCCAAATATATGATTAACAGAAGCAAGTTGCACAAGCGTGTGTTTCTGATGATGCATTTTAATACAATAAAATGAAACAGTGGATATTTAAGATGTGCCTTGCACATCCTGACATATTATAAAATGCTTCTAATATATTTCTTTTCCCTGTTTCTCCTTTTTCCTGGTTTCTCTGTGTAAACCAGGCCCACAGTTAATGGCTACTGTCAATTAAAATCAAGCAATAACAATGCATGAAATGCAAGATTTCTCTGAAAAAATAATGTACTCATACAATATACTGACCAAAAAAGTGTTGTAAATCATAAGTAAAACATGTGCGTGTTTAGGAACATTTAATTACCTATGGGTTTGGGTGGACTCTGGGAGCTGGCGATGGACAGGGAGGCCTGGCGTGCTGCGGTTCATGGGGTCACAAAGAGTCAGACACGACTGAGGAACTGAACTGAACTGCCTATAATTTTCATATGTGCACCTCCCAAATTTTAGATATGCAAATTCTATAGCTAATGTCAGCATCTCTCATGCCAAAATGTGAATGCATCTTCATTAAGGCGAAAATATTTTCGCCAGACAATGTCTGTGTGACAACTTGCTGCATCAGTCTCCAGTGGTGTACCACATCCACAGAGGCCCTTTGTACTGTTCTCTTTCCTTTCTCTTTCTCCACGAACTCTTTCCCCTTCCTTGAACATGTCAGAGTAAAGAACAGCAGAGCCAGGACTGGAATTTTTAGGTGAAAAGCAAAATTTTTCATAGAAACAATAAAGCTTAGGCTTGTTTTACAATTTCAAATGTGACACATGAATACACTCACTGCATCTAGAGGTGCTTAAGCAAGTTTTACTAATGAGCCCATCAAAGTCATTCTGCATTTCTGTCACAGTGGTTTTGATTTAGAGCATTTTTTTTTTAATTCTTTCTTAGAATCTGCATCTTTCTGCTTATATTGCCCATTTGTTCCTGCATGTTTATCCATTATCCATTAGAGTCCTTAGAGGATTACTTAGTCTGATCATTCCAATGTCCCCACCGTATTTGAGTCTAATTCTGATGCTCGCTCTGTCTCTGCAAACTGGCTCTGCAAAGTGCCTTATAGTATGCCTTGTAATTTTTGTTGAAAGGTGGACATGATGCCCTGGGTAAAAGGCACGGCAGTATAGTAAGCAGGCGCTTAGTGATGCTGCGTGTGGGGGAGGATAGCAGTCCAAGGTCTTGCAACTGCATCTCCCCTGAGCCTGCGCCCCAGGCTGTGACCTCTGCACATCCTTCAGTCCCCACCTCACCTCTCTGAGGTGAGACAGGATGGCAGGAGGGGGCCTTCCTCATGGTAGGTTCTGATAAAACACCAGGCCACTGGGCTCCGGTGAGCTAGTCTACCTTGAAAGCCAGCCTTGTTAAGAAGAACAGAACACTCTGGCATATTTTCAGACAGGTTACCTTACCCCTCTCCATGTTGGAAGCACATGGGGATTTCTCTCCCATCTTCACTATGAGAACCTGGTGCTCCTGGAGGTAAAACACAAGTGTGGGGATCCCCAGCGACCAGGCCCCACTACAGTCTTAACCCTCAAGCTTGTCCAAACTGGGTCTCCAGTGATTCATCCGAGTTATGGGTCAGGCTTCCCCACTCTGGCACTGGTTCCTGCAGAGACATCTGCTCTAGGTGAGTTATGACACTGTGTTTGCTTGCCTCTCCTGTTTGAGGGGCAGAAGTTTGCCCTGTGCTGGGTTCTCTGCTGGATCTAAGAGGAGCTGTTGATTTTCCATTTGTTCATCTTTTTTCTTGTTATGTAGATGGCAGAGAAGACCATCCAAGCTCCTTACTTGTCAGAACAAGAAAAAGGGAAATTTTATAACCTTTAGTACTGGCTGCTTATTTGAAATGTGTCTGTGTTTGGAAGTATCTTTTTGCCTTTTCATACCATTCATGCTTTTGAACTGTGGTGCTGGAAAAGACTCTTGAGAGTCCCTTGGGCTGCAAGGAGATCAAACTAGTCGATCCTAAAGGAAATTAGTCTGAATATTCATTGGAAGGACTGATGCTGAAGCTCCAATACTTTGGCCACCTGATGCGAAGAACTGAATCATTGAAGAAGACCTTGATGCTGGGAAAGCTTGAGGGCAGGAGGCAAAGGGGACGACAGAGGATGAGATGGTTGGATGGCATCACTGACTTGATGGACATGAGTTTTGAGCAAGCTCCAGGAGTTGGTGAAGGACAGGGAAGCCTGGTGTGTTGCAGTCCATGGGGTTGCAAAAAGTCAGACATGACTGAGCGACTGAACTGTTGGAAGTATCTACTCCTATTAATTTTTTAAATTTCAAAATAAAGGGAGAAGTCTTAAACAGACTTATTCAGTAAATTAGCAGCAGGTCATATGAGAGTTTAGAGGCTCTATCAGACTAACACTTCTACTAATAGGGTCAAGCTTACCTCCAATGCAACGCCTGGAAATTTTCCTGTTAGAAACTGGTGGTTACGAAGCCTTTAACTCTAGCTAGTGTGGGTGGGGATGGAGAAGAGAGATCCTACTAATCCTTTGATTTACTAAGTTACTAATGAGATTAACAGTTGATGCCTTCAGATACAAGGAAGCTATCAAGAATTAGGGCAGCTTCAAATCAAAACTACACGGTATCACCTCACACCAGTCAGAATGGCCATCATCAAGAAATATACAGGCAATAAACGCTGGAGACAGTGTAGTGAAAAGGGAACCCTCTAATACTGTTGGTGGAAGTATGACTGGTGCAGGCATTTTGGAGAAGAGTATGGAGGTTTGTTAAAAAAAAAAACAACACAACTACAAATAAGAGTTAGCATATGATCCTGCAATTCCACTCTTAAGCATATATCTGGAGAAAACCATAATTTGAAAAAATTCATGCACCCCAGTGTTCATTGCAGCACTATTTACAACTGCCAAGACATGGAAGCAACCTAAATGTCCATCAACAAAGGAATGGATAAAGAAGATGTGATAGATATATACCATGGAATATTACTCAGCCATAACAAAGAATGAAATAAGGCCATTTGTAGCAACACTGGATGGACCTAGAGATTATCATACTAAGTGAAGTAAGTCAGAAAGAGAGATACAAACACCATATGATGCCACTTCCATGTGGAGTCTAAAACACGACACGCAAGGGGGGATAAATGTATACACATGGCTGATTCACGACGTTGGACAGCAGGAACTAACACTGTAAAACAATTACACTTCAATTAAAAAATCAATCTGAAAAAATAGGACACACTTGGACCAGTGAAACAGAAATAGACTCAGGGGCACAGAGAACAGACTGGTGGTCGCCAAGCAGGGGTAGTTCTGGGACGCGTGGAGAAGGAGGTTGGGGTTAACAGACATAAGCCTTTATATACAGAATGGATAAATAACAAGATGCTACCGTACAGCACAGAGAACTATATTCAACATCCAATGATAAACCATAATGAAAAAGAATATTAAAAAAGCCGTACACATGTATAACTGAGTCACTCTGAGCTACAGCAGAAAATGACACAACATCGTAAATCAACTGTATTTCAATTTTTTTAAGTGACACTTCATTACACTCAGAGCATTTATAATGCTTGATACTAAATGCTTGTTTGAATGTGTCTAATCTGGGAGCATGTATTCCTACTATTATATCATACATATGAGGAAATTTTGCTTACATTACACAAATAAGTCCACTAAATTAGCAGCAGGTTGTACATCAAAGTCAGCATCCTTGCCTCTCAGACTAGCTCCTCCGCTAACAGGATAAAACCCAGGTTGACAAGTGCTGCCCAGAGCCTCTGCGCTAGTTCCAGGCAGTCAAGTACAGACCATGAGTCTCTGAAGTCCCAGGTCCAGGAGCTTTCCCTCTTCACTGTGCATCTCTTCATTGATTCCAACTGATTAGGTATTGCCCACAACGCTCTCTATCTGGTGATACCAATATATTTTTAAGGAAGGATATATAGCTCTTTGATGCCTACTGCTAACTGTCAAGGAGAGAGGACCACAAACTCACATACCAGTGCTGGAAAAAGACAGTCAAGGGTACAAAACAATCAGGGACCGCTGAGGGTACTGGGTAGCGCCATACGTTCATATTTTTCACATGAAATCCAAAAAAGCAGAACTTGGTTTCCTTTTAAATATTTTCCCACAGTTGAATAAAAGCTTCATGCTGAAAAACCTAACATGATACAGTCATATTCCCCTGAATCAAAGCTCTTACATTCTTCATTTATTAATCACATTCTGCCATCATGGTAGCTTTAGAAAATTAAATTAGTTCTCACTGACAAAATACTTAAAGGGAAGAAAGAAGAAGCTCAAACCACTCCCCAAAACATAAAATAGTCCCAGAAGACTGAATTAAAGCACTCATTTTAGTCTTCCCGGGGTCTACATCTCCTCGGGCATCTTCTGTGATCTTTTATTTAGAGGGAAAAATTATTCAGCTGTCCGCCTGTACTTTCCCCTTAAGGCATTTAGCCCCAAAGAAAGAGGAAACAGGAAAATATATTTAAAGAAAGTTCAAAATAAAAGAAATGAGGAAATAGCTTAGAATTGAAGCTATTTCTGCAGGATGTAGACCATGCTGTCATTTGGAGTAAGCCTTGATACACAGGTGACATGTGACTCACTCTGATTTTTCATAAAGAAGTGGAATTTGTATTGATAGAAAGAGCTCCCAGCTCTAAGAAAACAAAAGGAGCAACAATCAACAACACTGATGTCTTTTCTCACTGAAGCGCTATTCATGGACAGAGGAATTGAAGTGGAAAAATAACTTCAGATTTCAATCTACTCTATATAGTGATTCGCACAAATATACACAGAAAACAGCCTTAAATGATTACCATCACCTGAACACTGTACAATACCCTTTCATAGTAGACCCAACTCTGGGGTTGAAGAGTGAATTCGTACACTTACCAACAGCCTGGAGGTCACTGGAAGGAACCTCTCATTCTAACACGAGCTCACTCAACCACTCCTGCCAAAGGAGAATCTAAAAATGCTGAAGGTCTCCAGATAAGACTGCCAGGTCACAGCCAAAGCTTAACAGCCTCCGCCAACAGGAAATGCTCTTGGGCAGTGAGCTGAAATCTCCCACCCCAGCAATTCCACCTGTCTCTTCTCTTGTTGATTCAGACACGGATGCTCCTCCAGTGATGAGCTGGTCCCTCACTAGAAACGTATCATCACCTTGTCCCTTGGGATAAGTCACCATCCTGTTTGACCCCTGCTTCTGGTTCTCCCTTCACACCACTCCAAACAGCTTGAAGGCTCCCAACAAGTGCAGAAGAGTGAAGAGGTCCTTCATGCAGGAGGAGGCATCCACGGTGGGGTCTCCGAGATGCCACTGTGGGGTGGGGAGGCCAAGGACAACTCTGCAAAGGATGCGGGGCGACAGATCAGTCCTTTCTAACCTTCATCCCAAAGACACTTCCTAACGCTGACATTTATGTGTGTGTGTGTGTGTGTGTGTGTGTGTGTCCGTGTTCACACTCAGTCATATCTGACTCTTTGCAACCCTATGGACTGTAGCCCACCAGGCTTCTCTGTCCATGGGACTTCTGAGGCAAGAGTCGAAAACAGGTTGCCATTTCCTTTCTGGGGGAATCTTCCTGACCCAGGGATCGAACATACATCTCCTGCATTGGCAGGTGGATTCTTCAGCACGAACATTTCTCTACTAACATTTATCTACAAGTGAGTTCACCACAGCCCTGTTTATAATAAGGGGAAACTAGAAGGAACCCAACGTCCAACATTAAGCAAATAGCTGCTTACACTTACACGGACATTGAGAAGAACAATCATCCAAGAAAAGCACAGCTGTTACATGCGTATTAACACAGAAATACTTTTTATTGTGTTACTTAAGAAAGTATGCTGCAATATTGCATACACAGACCATCCTGTTTGTTTCATTGTATATGTGTTTGTGTGTGTGTGTCTAAAAATACTGGCCTAGAAAAATGCACCCCAGGACATGCAGCCGTAATTGCTGGGTTGGTAGGGTTATGAGGGTTTTGCTCTTCTTGTTCTTACCTATGAGAATGTTCTGATTTTTCTTACAATGAGCATATTGCTTTTGTAGTCAGAAAAAAATCTAGTAGTTATTTTATATTTGAAAAACTTTCATAGGGAAGATGACTTGCCACTTTATAAAACTAAGTAGAAAAGTGGGACAGTTCATGTAAATAAATATGAAGTGTTAATAAAATAAATCTATTAACATCAGATCAATAAATCAGGGTCGAACAACTCCCCTGAAGGTCTGGTGGTTAAGACTTTGCTTTCCTGTGCAGGGGATGCAGGTCTGATCCCTGGTCAGGGACCTAAGACCCCACACACCTCGCAGCCAGAAAACCAAAACAGAAGAACAGAAGTAATGTTGTGACAAAGTTAATAAAGACTTTAAAAATGGTCCACATCAAAAATAAATAAAAACAAACAAATAAATAAATTAGGGGTCTAGACAAGGGTACCTTTCAAAAGGAGGGACATGTTAGACAAAGAGCAAATGAGAAGTTAGAAGGGGGAGAATTGGTGGATCCCCCCAGTCTGAAGCTCCTGGGGATTCCCGCCCTCCCGGCTGCCCTCCATCTAAGCCACCCAGGCATTCTGGCTCCACACCTCCATCCGTGGCTCTGAGTTGATCTCAGCCATTGCTCTGTACCTGCACCTTCACCACACTCTCTTGCGACCTGTGGACTGAGACCCCAACCTCCAGAAGTCCTCCTGACCCACGCAGTTCCGTGTATCTAAAACCACAGCCATCACTCCCTCCCCACCAGCCTGCTCCTTCCCAGGATAGGTGATGCCTATGCAATGGCACCACCAGCACCCTGCCGACCTATCAGGGTTACTTTAAACTCTTCCTCTCGGTTACTCTTCAAGCAGTTCAGGACACAGGATGCCATGCTCACTACCTAAGTGTCTCTGGTGTCTGGAGTCTCCTCTTAACTTCCTCCCAGCCTCAGCCACATCCCCTGTTATCTGTACCCTGCGCCTGACACGTCTTCCCTCCAGTTCAAAACTTAAGCATGCTCTCGCTTTCCTGAGCAGAGCCATCTGGTACCCACTCGCCTACGAGATCAAATCCAAATTGCTTTCTACCGAGCATGAGGCCCTTTAAAATGGATCTTTCCGGTCTCAACACTCTTGACTGCCACCAACGACATCATGCCCCACCACAAACCTGCGCAGGACCCACCAAGTCCCAAACATGAAATGCATCTAGTGCCCACATCATTCACTGCATCCATTTCTACTGCCTGAAACCCCTTGTCAGTTCTCTCTTAGCATCTGCTCTTTAGCGTCTTTCTCAGACACCGTCTCTCCTCTGATCACCAAGCTACAGACCCACTCCTGTGCAGTTATTTCTTCCCACTGTGCAGTGACAACATCAGCGCCATCCTGTGGCATGCTTCTCATACCTTCACTCCCCTGCTGCTCTCGTCCCCCAGTGAGACGATGTGCGGTCCTTTCCCACGTCTTCTGTTGCAGCTGGGAAAGCTAGGTAGTCACTTCTCTGGTCTCTCTTACAACCAGGAAAGGTTGTATGAAACACCCCGGCTGAGGAGACACCAGGGCAAAACCGCTGGGGAATCTCTGCACAATTTTTCTGTTTTCCTGATAATGGGAAACAGCTGACACTTCCTCTTGCTCTCACCTGGCACATGGATGTGACACCTCGGACTTCAGAAGGTCTCTCGCCAGCATGAGGGAAAAGCCCAGAGCATCACAGAATTTATAGTCTGCCCCCCTGGAGCCCTTGAATAATACTTACAGCCACCAATCTGCAGACTTAAAAGGTGAGAAAAGTCAACTCTAGCTTTATAGCTATTTTTCACATTGTCTGATGCTTGCTGTATCCCGAACTGATATTTTTATGAGCAAATTAATGCAGCAATAACTACTGGGGATCTACCAGTCTCCTGACATTACACTGAGTATTTCTGTTTGCTTTATTCAACCTTTAGGCAGCACCACTTCTATTTGCAGAGTTGGAGACTCCTGTACTGAAAATGTAAGTAACTTCTCAACCAGCACACACGGTTTTGGGGTTTCTGAGCCAGGATTCCAACTCAGTGTGGTCTGATTTAAAAGCTTGTTCTTTCTGGCACTTTTGAAGACTGATTCAATGAGGCTAGACCAAGAAGAGGGCCATGTCGAAGATCGACTTGGGTTTGTAAGCCCAGCAAATGAGAAAATCCATATTGGCTGAACCCATTTACCAGTTTACCAGGGAGTCAGTATTGGAGGGTAGAATAGGGTTGGCAATGGATGCGTTCCTTCTAAGCTGCCTTCACAAGACTTGTCAGTCCTACTTTGCTTTGTTACAGGAGACTGGATTCTCCTCTGTAAAACTCCAGAGATCCATTCTTTAGAGATGTTTGTGAATTCATTCTCATGTTCAGAGAAAGGCTGGGCATTTATGTGCATGCAAAGGCATTACAGGATAGGAAGTGTCTGTGTCCAGAAGTGAGCAGGCCATGTCTGGGTTTAAGAATGGTTTTTAAAGCAGCAGGAAAACACCTCCATAGCATGATGTAAGGATCCAGAAACACATGATTTAATTTAACCTAGAGATATGATACCAAAAGCCAAAGATACTCATTCTACTACTCTAAATCTGATGGGCCCCATACTTCAGAAGAAAGGGGAGGGCTTTATAGTGGTTAGAATGTACTTCAATTTCAGTTCCACCACAAACTGTCTTAGCCTCTGAAATTCAATTAGCTTAATGGGCAAATGAGGTGATACCTTATAAGATTTTGTGAGGATAATTAAATGAGATAACAGAGAAGCAAAACACTCAGGTAAATGCCTGGCCCCAGTAAGTGCTGGATAAGTGGTATAACAGTAATAAGTGACAACAACAATGGCTGAGAAGTACCTCAACTGAAGGATGACCATGTCCACACTGGGAACAGAGGTGGTTTAGGTATGCAAGTTGGAATACGACTAGTGGCAGTGCCATGAACATAAGTCCATGGACAGTTGGGATAAACAAAAATGATTGCTTCCCAGGGTGGGGCGAATGTGTCTTGAAGACCTTACATATTTTAGAATAATCCTGAAAAAGAATGGTGGGAGTTTATGTTTTTCAAAAGTGGTACCCTCCTACCCCTGTCCCATTTACCAACAGTATAAACAGTTTACAATGCACTTAGCCCCAGCTTGAAATTGGCATTCTTGCTAAAATTTTTACTGTGGGATTGGGTTCACACTGTTTTAAATTTTACTCATCAAGTAAAGCAATAATAACTTGTATCACAAAATTTCACATCTGCATGATTTCATAAAATGGGAGTGTTCCTAGGCAAGCCAAATTCTGAAGTCTGGGACCTCGAGCAGGGCTGCTTATCTTTCTATCAAAATCCATCCTCAGCTCCAACCTCTACCCCTTCCAGAGAAAATGGATTCAGTGACTGCATTTCTCCCTGCAGTCCTAGTTGACATCTGTGAGCTGCAACTTCATGAAGGACACTTGCAGAACCACCAAATGAGCTGCCTAACTTCCTGACCTGTGGAAACTGTGTGCAATAAGACGTCTGTATTGTTTGTTAAGCTGTTAAGTTTGTGAGTGATTTTTTATGCAGCAATAGGTAACTAGCTCACTAGCCTCTTTTACAGATAAATGGAGAGCTGGCTCTAGTGCAGCTGAAAAGCTCTGTCTGTCTTTAATTCTTTTTAATGTTTCCTGGAAATAGAGGAGTAGGCCATGCCAGACATCATGTAAGTATTACACCAAGTTTTCTTCAACCTAGTCACATGATGAAATCAGTTCTGTGTATATCACAGGCTCTTTGTAACAGAGCAGCAGAGGGTTTACTTGTGAGCTCTTTCATATGACCTTTGCTCATATGAGAGACAAATGTAAAAGTTTCTTTCTGTGTGTGTGTGTGTGAATGTGTGTGTGCATGTGTGTTGGTTTTTAGAACTGAAGAAAACATGGCTAACGGATCACAGCAGAAACTTCATTCAGGGAATCTGAGACTCTGTCTTAAGAGCCTCACATGTCACGTGAGATGCAGACTCAAGGCATCTTTATTCTTGAGCTCCTCGTGGCATGTGGCCCCTCTCCCATCCCCTGATTGAGAACCTGCACACAAAACTCCTGCAGGTTTATCTTTCTTGACTGAGGGCGACTGGCAGGCTGGTTGGAAGTGTCAGAGTCTGGTCATGTTGGCATGATCTCTAAGCATTTCTCTATCTCCATTTGCAGGAACCATCACTCATTCTGACCTCATATCAGGCCTAGTAACAGAGCCCCACACTGGAAAACTACAACAGGAAGGCCCAGAACCTACTGAACAAGACCATGCCACAGCTTGTCAGGTGCTACCAGGGTCAGAAATCAGAGCATCTGATGACCATTATGACCAATGGACCACCACACAATACTGGTCTGAGTCCAGGGAACCAATCCTCCTCTGAAATGGCTGATTTCCTTTTTTCCCAATTTAAATTCTTCACCAACCAAATCTGAAATCTATAAATTATTAAAGAGTTACTTGGTCTTCTCATAGTAACCTAACAGACCCTATGATATTTTCATGGAGGCTGCGTCACATCTTAATAAATAGTGTTTGTAGGGCACCCTCTCCCTGATAGCTTGGTGATGGTCTGCAGACCAGCACTTAGGTGTATCCTGCAATGATTCCCAACCTGGAGTCTTTGAAGATGGTCCTGTTGTTCCATAAATAATCCTCGTCATTTAAAAAAAAAAATCACAAGAACTCTGCACTTGCCCGTGATAAAGCTGCCTGGGGTAAACTATGCAAAGGCTGGCACATTAGGGTCTGAGGCCAGATTTTGTTTTTTTGAACAAAATTTTATTGGAATACAACCACATCCATTTCTGTGTAGGTTGTCTATAGCGGCTCCCACACTACAACAGTGTGACTGAGTGACTGAGGCAGAGACTGTATAGCTCACCAGCCAAAGATATTTACTATCTGGCCCTTTGCAGAAAAAGTCTGCCAACCTCAGAAATAAAGTGTGACCCCATACCTCTCACTCTGGGGTCTGAACGTATTAAGTGGTGGGGACCCTTCCCCACACCTCACACAGACCAAGAGTTAAATTTTTGGCCTAGTAAAGTTAATGTAACAAATGTTACACATTAAACCTTTCAATATTTTGAATGGAGTCAGCAGAATTTTCCTTGTTAACCAAGAATTTCCTTACTTGTGCTTACCAAAATTAAAAATGGAATCTGGATTGCTTGCAAGCTTTTAAAACTTTTCATATCCATTGAATAAGGTTAAATACTGTCTTTTTTCCAACATGACGTATTTAGCTGGCCACCAATACTTTACAGGGTTAACTGTTCTTAGCCTTCCGGTGTGTTTCTAGAAAGAAACCATGTAAACTATTTGGGATACAATGTTTTTCTTGATTTGAAGTCATAAGCATGTATTAATCCACATTGTACAAGATAGGAAAGTGCTTGTAGCAAAATTTAATACAAGTATAACAGCTATGGGATTTGAATTCACTGGTTTGGAAACAAGAAGCATATATATTTTGTCAGTGAGACAGAGAATCTTTGTTACAGTCTAAGGAAATTGTTTTTACGGGGGACAAGTCCCATCACCCACCTTTGAAGCAACAGAAGGAGTCATAATGGGTATCAGTTTTGTTAACAGCAAACACAGTGCTTAGAATTTTTGGCTTAAAGAACTTTCTCCTCAGACTCGCTGCTTAGAATTAGATCTGACAAAAGGATGGATTAACAGATTTGGGGTTCCTGACAACTCTGTAACAAGGAAAAGTCTTAGACATTCTCTGTTTAAACCTTCTGCTCAAAATATTATCCTTGTGAAGTATATACAAAGGCACAGTCCAAAAATCTGGAACATTCTCTGCCAAGGGCTCCAAGCATTGGCACTGCTGACCTTTGGGGTCTGGTGATCTACAGCTGTGGGAGGCCTGGACGTCACAGGATCCATGGCTTTCACCCACAAGATGCCAGGAGGATCCCATCCCTGACGGAGAACCACAAACATCTGCAGGTATTGCTGAACATTCCAGGAGGCAAAGGGAAGACAGGATAGCCCCTGCTTGAGAATCATTCCTTAAGAGAAGATTAGACCTTTATTTTTATTATTATTTTATTTATTTATGGCCACGCTGGGTCTTCACGCTGGGCTCGGACTTTCTCCAGCTGTGAACGGGGATCACGGTGCCTGAGCATCTTACTGCCGTGGCCTCTCTTCTTGTGGAGCATGGGTCCTACGTGCATGGGCTTCAGTAGTTGCTGCGTGTGAGCTTAGTTGCCCAGGGGCATGTGGAATCTTCCCCGGCCAAGGATTGAACCCATGTCCCCTGCACTGGCAGATTCTTAACCACTGGACCCCCAGGAAAAGCCCAAGATTATACCTTTAACTTTCCAAAAGATGGTTATTTCGTTTACCTATGTAAACCAACTTATCCATACAGTTAGCAGCAAATCTATTCCCTTTTAAGAGGAAGTGGCTACATATCTTCTCCCCGTTTTCATCATCGCTA